GGAGAAGGGAATTCAAGGGCGGCTGAAATGAGAGAATGGGTAGGGTTTGGGGGGTTGTTGGATTAAAAAAGGAAAGGAATTATGGGGACTGTTGATCTTTTAGATCAACGACCGGGATTTAGTGGGTCTTTTGGTCGGGTAGGCGGATTTAGGATTTGGGTCGGGTATTTTAATTCGAAATTGGGCTGGGATTGGGGTTTGAACTTGGTTATAATTGAAATACAAATGGGGCTACCATTTAAATAGCCATTTTTCCCTGTTTGGTTTTAAAAATAGTAAAATAATTTCTGGAAATAAATTAAGGGTACTAAAATGAATAATAGCACATAATTAACTATTTAAAAATACCAGACCTAATTTTTATGAATATAAACGTAATTAATCCTAAAAAAGGCTAATATTGTAATTACATACAATTTAACTTTAAAAATACTAAATGACCTTGTAAAAATATGCAAAAAATTGTATTAGCCACATTTTAGTATAAATATGAAAATCCAATAAATGAATCGCCAAAAATGATAATTTTGGAAATAATTATTGGGTTTTTACGGATAAAATAGGGCGATAAATTGATTAAAAAGTCTTTAAAAATTAAGGAAAAAATAGTAAAATATTTGGACATGCTATTTTGAAAGTATTTTGTATATTAGAAATATATAGGGAAAAATTGGGTATCAACAATTTGTGCTTTACACACATTCTGAATAAGTGATATTTATAACCTAATTAACCTGGTCCTTGATGGTGAGTAAATTTTCTACACTTTGTTTTGATGGTTGAGCTGAGTTCTTGCAGGATCCAAGTAAGTAAATAGCACTGAGTTTGTCATCATCAAAAAGAGGGGATTTGTTGGCCCAAGAACATGTGAAGTTTTGAAGATTGACAAAAGAACTCAGACATGGACCAGGTCCATCTTGTAAAGCACAGTCATGATCAACCTGTACATGTGAGATGCACGTGAAGGAGATAAATCTAACTGATCAAGAAGCGATATCTCCTGATTTGATTGAAAAGGTTGCATATTGGATAAGGAGAGAAAGACTCCTTACATAAAGAGAACACAGTTTAGGAACAAGATAGTGTTAGAGTTTGAGATCACTATGAACTCTTCTACGATAAAAGAGTAGCAACTGAATCCCAGTCAAACTCTGATTACTAACCTATTAAATGTAAGTGTTGTTCTCTTTTACAGGTAATGCACACAAGCAGAAGTTAAACTTAAATTGAGAGCAAAAGAGCAAGGCGATTTTGCAAGCAATTTACGTGTGATTCGAATGTGCAATCCTGAAGCTACTTGAACGAGATAGAAGAACCAGTTCCAAGTGTCTATCTTTTATTCTAGTTCAATTGTAGTAGGTGATTTTACATTGTATCTTTCAGCTTTCATAGAAGCAATTGTATTAGGTACCTAGAGTGTTCAAGTTAGAGTTAACTTGAAGTTGTCGCAACAGTTGAGGCTGTGTGCCACAATGGGATTAGAGTTAATCCTTAGGTTTACAAAGAGTTTTGTAAATGCTGTTTTGGCTCAGTGATTTTAGTGGAAGTTTGGAAAAATCCTACTAAGTAGTAGGTCGTAATTTTTTCACCTTTTGAGTCAGGTGTTTTCCACGTAAAAATCTATGTGTTCTTTATTTTTGTATTTATTATTCCGCAACCACAGTAGTTGGAACACCTAGAAGAAATAGGTCCTTCTATAGTTCAGATAAGCGAAAATTGGGTACCACACAAATCACCCCCCCCCCCCTCCTCTTGTGTGGTATTGACGTTTAGAATATCAATCTGCTTCTAGAAGAGTCCAAAGTTCTGCTATATACAAAATGGCTAACTACCAAAGAATGACTGAAAAAAATGGGCCTCGCTAAATAAGTGGGCTGATACAAATAAATACAACCAAATGGGCTTCTTCTTACGTGGGGTGTGCCTCAGCATCAACAACAGTATTGTGGCCCAACTTCTTAACTCCAACATATATATGTAAAATATTAGGTTTTAGAGGTATGTAATATATATATTGAAATATTAGGTTTTAAAGGTATGTAACATATATTGAACACTCTTTGTCGAAGAATTTTTTTCACTTCTTTAAGTTTGAAGGACATTCTTGGCTTCGCCACGGCCGTTTATACAAAAGTTAAAATTGCGCATAGGAAAATGCTCTTTTCTTTACATGTTCCTTGGAAGTTGGAACAGATGCGCACCAATGTTTTTTATTAATTACCCATCCATTTTGTTAGATGAGCGTTTTTGTCTTCCATCACTAATTTACACAGAGCCCAAATAAAAAGTAGTCCTTGGCTCCTAGCAGTGTGCCAGTCTCATTGGTATTAGACTATTGTCGTGGGAAGTATTGAATTTTTGCTAATATTAGTTTATGTTAGAAGCTACTATATGCCCCCTAAAATCTGCTATGTGCCCTTAATTTTATTTTACTTTTATAGAAAAAAAAAACCAGATCATGAAAAATACCCTTTTCTTCAGTCTCTTTTGCTTTCCTCACTTGAATGCTCAAATACGAGTAGAACACACAATTTCACTTGACATTTTAAAGGTAGAACTGATGGTTTATTAATTATTATGCCAATGTACCATTTATGAAATGACTCGCTGCTTGCCACTCGATGCAAAATTACATTTCTACCTCTTAATTAGTATGATTTATTTTAGAATTAAGTACAACAAATTAGCAATAATAAAAGTCCAATGCCTCCACTAACACCAAAGTCGTTGTAGTATAGTGGTAAGTATTCCCGCCTGTCACGCGGGTGACCCGGGTTCGATCCCCGGCAACGGCGTTTATTTTGATATTCTTTTTATGTGTCATAGGGCCGACAGCCGACTGTCTGTATATGCTAATGATTGATTCATTTGTCCTCCTAAAACTTTGTTTTTATTGAGTGATTTCTGTGGTGGACCAAAAGCATTAACTTTCAAAGTCCGGCCAAAAAGATCCAAGACCTAATTATTTTGTGTTGATCCACTTACTTGTTTACCAACCTCTACTCTCCCTTTCTTTCAAATACTCGATTCATCAATCCATCCTATAACTTGATTTTTCTGTTATATCGAAATAAATTGGATTATTAGTTATCGTTAGGAGTAATGGTAAATGGACGGGTTGAGTCAAATTTAAGCAATCTTCAAACTTGATTATGTATGTACAAGTTTAAGTTGCTTTTTCACCCGTCGGATATCACTATAATGATTTTGTTGATGGTACTGATATGTTGTCTCTTCTCGTCTTTTCTGTCTTCTTAAGCCGAGGGTCTATCGGAAACAGCCTCTTTACTCCATTGGTGTAGGGGTAAAGTCTGCGTACACACTACCCTCCACATACCTCACTTGTGGGATTTTACTAAGTCGTTGTTGTTGGATAACACTATAATGACTCATTTCCAATAGTTTGATGAATCATTGTGAGTTCAACCCGGTAAGTCAACAATCAGGTTATAATCCAACCTGTTTAAACTCAAGCAAGTTGATGGTTTACTAAAAATTGAGTTAATTTTGTCACCTCTAGTTATCATTTACATTAGTAGTGCAAACCTTTTATGGTTCTTCCAAAATTTCATTTAATGCCCAAGGGAAATGTTATCAAGTTCCTAACTTCCTAATGACTCATTTAGCAATTCAATAATGCACCAAAATGACAAGAGTCAATTGAGGTTAAACAAAAGATTGGAGTACAGGCCTTTGGATGGACCTTATTTTTTACAACTATAATATACATCACAGCAACCCAACTCCAGCATCCAGAAACTCCTCACATTAAGTCAGAACGCGTTCGGTGTTAAGGGAGAGTCTTGATCATGCATCTTCCTGCAGCAACTTCACCTCTGAATCACATGGTTGGCTTACTTATAAAAGCTAAATTCAAAAGGGTCCCTAATCGCTCGACCTTTTTCTTGTGGCGGGTGAGACAAAGAAAGACCAAAAGCTAAGTTATCTATCGATACATATGGGCTAAACTTTTTGTGAGCTTCCTAAAATATAGCTGAGCTTGGAATACATCCCGGGTAATTAACAGTTTTTTTTTTCCCTTGGGGATCAGTAACATTGGTTAAAACAGAAGAAGAACCCTCTTGGCTGATTCTCCATTGGTGTTTTTGGGGTCTCACCCGAGTCATCGCACTTGGCCATTAACGAGCTGGTACCTGGAGATTCTGGTGGCAAGACATGATTCTCTGAAGTGAAAATCCTAGGTGGTATAGCTGGTTCTGGTGGTGAAACTGCAGAAAGATAATGTAGAAGCATCTGTATTATCTGAGTGAAGTTGGGACGAGCGTTTGGGTCCTCTTTCCAACAGGAAGTTACAATGACAGCCAAATCCTGCGGAAGATCATCAGCACTTGGTCTCACGTTCTGCAAAACACAAAAGGTATAAACTAGTTTTAGCAAAACCAAACAACTATTAAACACAGAATCCTCTAGTTGTGCACGGTTCGAAACTCGGTTGATGATGACCCACCCCTTTTACCCTTTTCCACTTAAATACCATGCTTTTGTATGTTGTAGGGCTCAAACCTGTGGCGCGCACCCACATCATGCGTTACGTTCTTACCACTAGATCAAATCTCTGGGGCACCGGGCCCCAAGTTTCTGGATAGTAATTATCCACGTTTCATGTTCTTCAGTCAAAAAGTTAGGTGCTTTCAGACAAAAGCAACTTTTTAAGTCTTCAACTGTGGGACAAACTTTTGTAAATTAAGCACATTCAGCCAAAGTTGTACAAGTGTCCCAGTGGTCCAATTGTGATGTGAAGTGTGAACCAACTAAATGCTATCATATGCCACCTCTCTCATCCACTTTAATTCAGGATAATTACAAATGATGATCCAACAGAAGAATAGTATTGAGATAACTAGATGACAAGGTAAAATCAATACGGAGAGACGATATGATATTTACCTTAAAGGCAGCTGCATAAGCAGCCTGCAAATTAGACATTCCCTCAAATGGTAATTTGTTATGTATGAGTTCCCACAGGACAATTGCAAAACTGTAGGCATCTACTTTGTGATTATAATGCTTCTTCTCGCCATGTCTTAAAGTGACCGTGCTATAGAGCTGCCACCAAAAATAGAGTGATAAGTCGGTTGTACTGCAGCCACAGGATAAAAGAGAAAAGGAATGGGAAATATATTAATAAGCAGAACGGTTCAAGAATCAACCTCTGGAGCCATCCAGCGATAAGTTCCAGTTTCAGCAGTCATCATCTCTGTCAACGACTCTTCTCTTGCCAAACCAAAATCCGCAAGTTTGACAGTTTTGTGGTCCGCCGTCAAAAGCAAGTTCTCTGGAGATTGCAAACAGAACCCAAATCAGAAGAGCTTAGAAAGAGAAATAAAGGTCCATGCTTATGCTACTAATGGCATTGTAACTTTTTAAAGGAATAGCAATATCGATAATTGTTTGTTAACACCCTCGATTAGCTAAGAAGACATGTAAAGTTTGAAATCATTGCTGACCCTAGACAAGTACAAGTCCTACTAGTAGGCCAAAAGAGACGACTATATAATTATTTTCAGGTTTTCCTAAGATTGAAAAGTAAACAAGCTTATATTTAGAAAATGTTATGCATCCTCATGAGAGATAGAATTGTAGTAAAAAGACGTGAACTTTTCATTTAGGATCAGAATGTCTGAGAAATTATTTTCTTAACCTTTGAAGGAAAAAATATGTAAAGGTCAATTTTTTAGACCACTGTACTATTAAGGATGATGGTAAGCATCTTCTTTTGTAGCAGTTGCAGGGAATTTATTCCACATAAAGTTTCTTATGTATTTAGCTGCTCCTACTGACCAGGGTACCGTAGTGTTGTTAAGAATCTAGCTCTGTAAGAATACACCAAGAGCATCTTAAGATTACTATCAATATTTACATTGTCCTGTTCTACTCAGCCAGAGACAAAAATAGGATCAGTGAGTAGCAACACCAATGGAGGCTTGAAAAACTTCTTTTCTTTTTTTGTTAAAAGCATAATAGTTGGCAAAAGGAAGGACGCAACGCGGAGATCAGGACGCAACAAGGGATGTTACTGCCTTTTTTTTTTATCCGTAAGAATGTTAATGTTTATTAGTGATCCGTAAGTAGCTTCCATTTTTCAAGGATTACTCACTGAACATTACTAGAGATCAAGACCAGATAAAAGTTAAAAAGCTCAGTGATAATCACAGACCACACCTCTATTCATGTTTTAACTAATTTGTCAAAATAAGCACTTTGAAACACAGTGCGAACTTTAAATGAGTGTGTAGCAAACTCAACAAGCAACAAGTGTCAGTTGGAACTTGGAATAGTCTAAGTTATAAAATAAATATTCCCGAAGAGGGAGATTTATAAGTTTACCAGGTTTTAGGTCACGATGAATGATTCCATGAGAGTGCAAGCATTCCATTCCACGAGCTATATCAAGTGCAAATCTAATAGCAACAGCAGTATCCAAACACCTCGGTCTCATGCTCACCAAGTATTTTCTTAACGTTCCACCGAGAAGAAGTTCAGTTACAATGACCATGACAGGCTCCTTGCAAGCTCCTATAAACTGTAAACGAAAAAAGAAATCAAAATCAGTCACAAATTTAACCCTCTTAATCCCTCATCAAATAGATCATATATCCAAACAAAGTTTCGGAACTCAAAAACAACCTTCACTAAGTTCTTGTGCTGAACTCTGGATAACATTGCAACCTCCCTTCCGAAACGAGCTTCCCTCTTAGCGATCTCCTCTGGCGTTTCCCCTTTATGCACAATCTTTATCGCTACATTCTGGTTTTTGTATCTGCGATTAACCCAGCCCAAAAAAAAAAGATATAAGCAACTAAAGGACCACAAAACAACATCATACAAGAAATTTAAGCAATATTAACTTTACTAACTAGCCCACACTTTCAAATCACCTTCACTTAAGTATTAGGGATAAATTCTTAATTCTTGTAACAAAACAGTATCCTAAAAACAAACCATTGAACTAGCTGAATGAAATCAAACAGTAATCCAATAAATATAGAACCTTGTAATATTATTACTTCAAATAAACAAACAATTCTTACAGATCAGTAAAAAAACACAATATTACTAAGTCAAGATTCAACAGAAAGTCAAACTTACTTTCCCTCATACACTTTGGCATGAGCACCTTCTCCAATCTTAGGACCAACAAAAAGAAGCTTCGGATCAATCAACCATTTTGTCTCCAAATTAAATTCTTCTCCGGTGTAAAATCCATTAGCAGATCCCATTTCAAAACCCCAAATGCTTAATCAACAACTTAACAAATGAACTAACACATCTATTTGACTACCAAAATCATAACACTTAACAATAATTCACTAAGCATTTGAATACTCAAGCATAAAGTACAAAGCTTTGGCCTTTATGACATGAACAATAAAAACTTAGTACTACTTTTATGCTTTTAAACAACAGAAAATGAACCCCACATAATATCACAACAAGAAGCACCAGAATTTTCAGCTGGTTCACTTAAAATTAAACAAAACTGGTCACAAAAATAGTAGATCAAGAAAATATTTTTTTCTGGATAAATAGGCTGAAGGAGTGAAGATGCTGCTAATGAATAGAATAAGGTGAAAGAAAATGAAAGATGGAGACTTTAGTTAGTGGTAAAGACTTTATTTTTAAGTTGCTTTGCTCTCAACGCGTAGTCAGTTTTCTGTATATATAATTTTTATTTTTATTTTGGGTTCTTGATCTGCAAAGAAAAAGATAAAGCCGTGAGGAGGAAGGTGATGTGTGTGTGAAGAAGAAACTGCGGGAGGGTCGATTATTTATTATTTATTTATTTATTACTTATTTATTTATTATTTTGTCCTTTTGAATTATTTTGAGGAGACAAGAAGAAATTATTTAAGGGGGAGTAAATGGAGACAAGAAAGGATAGAATGGGAAAAGAGTAAGATGCCGTTGAAAAAGATATTATATTTTTATTTGAGATTTAAAGAAAAAAGTATTCGAATTTACACATGGAAGATGGAAGAATGAAGTAGAATAGATCCTCTTATTCCCATCAACATTTTTAAGTTGGTGAGATAGAATATTAGGGGTCGTTTGATTTAACAGTTTAAGAAAATTAACTTTAATGTATATTCTCGCATAAAATAATATAATGTTTAATTATATAAATAAAAATTGTTTACCTCGAAAATACGAGTAACAATTAAATTTGATTTATGGTTTTAAAGATACGTGATTTAGTTAAATACTAATTAAAAAGAAATTTGAAGTATAAATGAAAGAAATAAGTAAAACCAAACCAGAATGTAGGTCAGTCTCGACCTCGAGCCAAAGTGACCTCGAGATGAATCAAGAATAGTAAAGCAAGAATAATAAAGCTAAAGGACAATTCTGATGAACAATGAGCGAAAATGTAGGAGAGTATATTCTTTGCCAATGATTGATTGTCTTATACAAATGATTGGGGTCCTCTTTATACAATAGGGGAACCTTAAATAAGGTACATTTCTATTTACAGTAAAGAATTTTATTGGGACAGTTGACTAACCACCTAGCACGGATTCGTACAAATCTATTCCGGGATTTACGCCACGATCTTGGGGACGTGGCAGGAATCTTGCTTATTCTGTTACAAATTCATAACGGCATTATCTCGAGGCTGGTCATATTGGACTCTGATGTTCCTCGAGCACTTAGCTCTTCGAGCCTCGTACTCCGCCCTCAGGCTCGAACTCGGTCCATGGTGAGTCTACTCCTCGACACGAGCCTTATGTTCCTCGATATGAACCTTCGAGCCCACAAAATCGGGGGCACTTGATTTCACTGTATACAGATAGTCCCCACGTTTGAACCTCGACTTTCCGGAGTCCCTAATAATGTTCTCGTGACGTAGGCGCTCGAAGTGACCGAAATGTCCCGTCAGTTCGCTTCCCCAAAACATTAAATGTTTTTCCAATGATGGTCGGCCACTAGCGTCGTTGAAACGTCGCCGCTTACCTATAAATATGGGGCTCCTATTTTGAATTGAAAAGTTTACTTCTTCCTTGTGTTCTCTCTGATCCCTTCTTCTCTTCGTCTTTTTCTCTCACCACCTGCTTCCACCGTCCCTTTTAGTACCGGAAAAAGCCAAGCTCCGCCACCTATAAATATTAAATGTTTTTCCAATGATGGTCGGCCACTAGCGTCGTTGAAACGTCGCCGCTTACCTATAAATATGGGGCTCCTATTTTGAATTGAAAAGTTTACTTCTTCCTTGTGTTCTCTCTGATCCCTTCTTCTCTTCGTCTTTTTCTCTCACCACCTGCTTCCACCGTCCCTTTTAGTACCGGAAAAAGCCAAGCTCCGCCACCTTCCGCTTCTCTTAACTTAAAATCATGGCAAAAACCTCTAAAACGGTTCCCAAAAAGAAAAGGCTTCTTCCTCTTCCTCCCGTCCGGCCGGTGACAAAGCGCCGGCCCTTCACGAGATCGTTCCCGTCGCCTGCGTCATAAATAAAGACTTCGACGTAGAAAACCCCCTGCAGTTCCTGGTCGATGTGAACATGCATCGAGGTACATTTGTTCGATAACGGAGAAACACCTCGAGGCCGTGAAAAGGGATTGTGGCAGGGGGGATAAGGTCGTGGTACAGATCCCGATCCCCGAGGAGAATGTCACCACCCACGTGGAGGGGTTCCTAAGTGTTTACACATACTCCTTCACATTGGGCCCTCTTGATCCGGTCATGGTTGCTTTCTGCAAAAGATATCAAGTCACCCTTGGCCAAATTCACCCCTCCTTTTGGCGCATAGTAATCATGCTCCGTTATTTCTCTAGCAAAGCCAGGGGACTGGAGTTTACCCTCAATCACCTTCATTACAACAAAAAGGGGATTTAGCGGCAATAACAATTGCCGCTATATCCTTTACCGGCTATTGTTCTTTAGCCGCTGAAGCCGGGGTCGGTAAAGCCTTTAGCGGCCATTGTCACAAATGCTAGTAAATGGTATAAATTATTGCCGCTAAAAACTATAAACTTTAACGGCAATTGTTTGCGGCAATTATTATGGCTGCTAAATCCAATTCAAAATAGCTAATTATGCTCCTTTAGTGTCCATTTATATAGCCACTAAATTCAAAATAATTGCCGCTAATAGTTCGTATAGTTAATGGCAATCGTGTTGTGGCAATTAGAATGGCTATAGCATTCACTTTCTGCGTCTATTTTAATGGCTGATATATTCAACTAAATTGCCACTAAAAGTCAATATCTTTAACATCAATTATTTTTCAGCAATTATAATGGGTACAATATCCCTAGTAGAAATGTGTTTACTTTTCTTTTTATCGTCCATTTAAATTAGCGCTAAAAGTCACAAGTTGTAATAGCAATAGTTTAACCACCATTAATAATAGTTTCTACATTCATCCAGAATATGATCCAAACAACAAAATATATTAATATTAATTCAAGAAATATAATATATCTCAATAAATCTTAACAAGTAAAAGTAAGTATTACTCAAAAATATTAGTGCCGCATTAACTTTAAAAATAAACTTATATTGTTTAAACTAAATAGCTAATGTCATTATATAACTAATCCTGACGAATGATAGCCTTCAAATAATTTCTGCAACTTTTCATCATATTGAAATCTTCCACCTGCTAAATTATCGAACATCAGACCATATGACCTGAAATTATAAAATAACTCTGTAAAAAGATGAAATATAATGTGAAAAAAATATCTTGAAGACTCCATCACTACCAGATTCTTTTTTAGTCAACTTATCACTTAATATTTATAAGCAGTAACAACTAGATGGATTAATAAAGGAACAAAATGAATGTGCAAACAATGAAAGAGAGTTTCTTTCTTAGTTATGATTGAGAAGAAACCGAAAAAAAATCAAAAGCAAGTATTAGCTTGGAGAAGTAAAAAGAAGCTACACCCAAGTTCATTAGGAAATGTTATAGTCGCCATGTTCTTTTCCTTAAATATGAAAACTAGATTATGCTTACATGCTATTAACGAAGCTCTCAAATAGGTGACAGAAAATTATGCACATCAGGCCTTGACAAACCTTGGGCATAATCATACTGTATGTATCACAAATAGTTGAAATTAAATATCTGTAGAAACTATAGCTAACTTAAGAATAATTATTTTCTGATAAGAACTTAAAAATAACTATAATTCCAAGAAATGCAAATGTATAAAGTTAATAAAATAATTACAACTGTTTTCTGATAAAAACTTCAGTTCTGGGTGCACTAGGCATGCAAACAAAAGTTTTCCATTAGAAACTTTTAATTTGAAATTTTTTGGCTTAATCCCAATTTTATCTTGAATTGCTCAAACCATCTTTTCTATAAACAATTATAGATCTGGAATATAGGAACAATGAAGTTAAGTACTATAAACCATGCCATAGATTCGTCAATTCCAAACTAGAAAGAGATACAAAGATACTCATTTAGTGAATAGATATTCGACAATCAAACCATAGACCCAACCAATTAGAAAATTTTAATTAACCCAACACCAACAAAATCGAACACTAAATATAGAGATTGAAACTTACTAGACACTTTTGGTTGTTAGGGTGGCCGACGAATTTGTGTTGTGGCGCTAACGGATGAGATTTGTGTAGTTTCGGCCTTTGGGTTTTTTCAATTAAGGTAATTCCAAATTTTTTTAGTAGTCTTTAGGTTAAAATTGAGGGGGTATATAGTTAGGCGGGAAAGATTTAGAGGAAAAAATAGAAATTGGAGGCAACATTAAAAGTAAAAACAATAACTTTACCACCTATTCTTTTGAATGACCACTAAAAATATACTAATTATTAGTTAGTAATATTTATTGGCCGCTAATATTTGCCTTCCATGAATAAATTAGCGGCAATTAGTTTATTGCTGCTAAATAATTGTCGCTAAATCCCCTTTTTGTTGTAGTGCTTATCCGATTATATCGGCCTCAACTTTTTCGAGGTTTGATCAAGCTCCAACGCCGATCGAGCAAAGCCTTCTTTGCTAGTAATGACGAGGACAAAGACCGAGGTTGGATGCGCCGGTTCATCCGAATGAGGACCTCGGACATCATCCCCAAGGAAAAAATGTCGTTCCTGGAGAAATGGAAACATGAGCGTAAGTGAAGTCTTTCCCTCAGTGCTTTCTTACATTCTGTTCCTGTATTTCGTGATGCTTATATCCTTCTTGCAGCCGAAGCGTGGATGCCCCATGCGATCCCTGACCTCGAAGACTGGGTCCGGAAGTTAGTCGCGACCTCCTTGTATGACGAGCGCAAATGGCGTGACTTATCGAAGGCCAAATGGGAAGCCAAAAATCATGGTGAGTATTTCTTTGTAAGCCTTTTGACGCTTTCCTCCTTTACCGAAGTCATTCGTTTCCTCATGCTCGGTTCTTGATTTATGCAGGCCTCAAAGATTTTTCCGAGATGAGGCCGACCCCTCCTGGAAAAGAGACCAAGTCCCCGATTCCTAAACCGGGGAAAGATAACAAGAGGAAAAGGGCTTCGAAGCCCGAAGATCCCCAAGACAAGAAAGCCCATGCTCGAAGGCTAAAGAAGAAACTCATTCACATGGATGTAGATTCAGTCCACCAGTCTCTGGATGATGAAGAAGATGAGGGTGCAGAATCGGAGTTGTTGATCCGGACTAGGAAACCGGTCGAGGCCGCCAAGCCCTCCGAGCCGGAGACCTTGCCTCGTGGTGAGGAAATTCCGAAGAAAGATTCGGGTAAAGCCCCCGAGTCCCCTGAAGTCGAGGTTATTCTTCCGCCTTCCACAAGTATACCGGGGGGGCAAGTGCTGAAAATATCGACACTAA